TGCCCTCGCCCCCCTTCTGGGCCTTCCTGCGTGGCTGGAAGCCGGCCGCTTCTGGGAGTCGAGCCTGGCCGACCCTCTTCACGGTCACCTCCGACACACACTCGGCCTGCAGCTGCCGTACTCGCGCTTCGAGCACTGTGGGGACAAAGGGCGAGGATGTCAGGGGGACCCCCGTGCGAGCACCAACCTCTCCAGACCCTGCGGCCCCGGGGAGCAGCTGGTCCCGCCAGCTCTCGGGGCCTTGGTTCTTTTTTTTTTTTTTTTTTACTGTTTTTTTTTATTTTCGAGAGAGACAGAGTATGAGCGGGGGAGGGGCAGAGAGAGAGGGAGACACGGAATCCGAAGCAGCTCCAGGCTCCGAGCTGTCGGCACAGAGCCCGACGCGGGGCTCGAACCCACAAACCGTGAGATCATGATCTGAGCCGAAGTCGGACGCTCAACTGACTGAGTCCCCCAGGCGCCCCTCGAGGCCTCAGTGCTGGATGTCCCCCAATCTTCAGGGGCCCCACCCACTCATTCAGCACAGCCTCCCTGACTCAACTTCCCAAAATCTGCTCCTCCAGGTCACTGTCATCATGGTCCTTGCAGGCGCTCAGCCAAAACCTCTAGGGTCGTCTACGTCTCTCTCCCTCTACATCCAACCTGTCTGCACACCCTCAGGGGTGTACTTCAGACTCAAAATCCATCCTCGTGCCTGGGGGGGCCCCTCCCCCCACTCTCCCCCACGCTGCTCACTGCGCTGCAGCCACAATGGCCTCAGGGCCTCTGCACATGCTATTCCTGATCGCTATGATCAGTATGACCGGACTTTCCTGCAGAGCCAGGTGGCCAGCCCTGCGTCACAGCGACTTCACAGATCACGGCAGTCCCCGACCGATCAACACGTAACCTTCTTCCATGTCCCTGTGTTTAAGATGCCTTATTTCACATATATTGTTAATCTGTGAACACTGAGCCCAGAGCCAACAGCGCTGTAAGTGTATACGAACACGTACCTTTGGGGCGCCTGGCTGACGCAGTCGGTGACGCGTCTGGACTCTAGATTTTGGCCCAGGTCATGATCTCCTGGCTTGTGAGTTCGAGCCCCGTGTCGGGCTCTGTGCTGACAGTGTGGAGCCTGCTTGGGATTCTGTGTGTGTGTGTCTCTCTCTGTCCCTCCCCCATTGGCGCATGCATGCTCTCTCTCTCTCTCTCTCCCCCCGTCTCTGTCTCTCTCAAATCAATCAAGTAAACGTTAAAAATATAAAACCGCGAACGTGTATTTTCCCCCAAAGGCACATCACAGCCTTCTCAAGTTTAGGACACTGGAAAACACCTTTGTACCACGCTTGGAGGCCACGTTAAACAGCAAAATCACCAACAAAAACCCCCAAAATGCAAAAACGTGGCCCTAAACAAACCTCGAGAAGGACGCGCTACAAGAGGCCGGTGTCGCGCGCTCCAATCCCGGCTGGGACAGGACAGCGGCAACTCCGGTACTCGCTGCACGTGTCCACAAGTGACTAGGGTCTGGGGTTACGGACGGAGTTTAGTTCGTAGGCGTCCGAGGGCAGCCGTCCGCCCCGTGTCCGGCCTCGCCGGCGAGAATGTCGCCTGACAGCAGGGCCGGCCTCACACAGCGGGGGCCCAGTGAAGACTCAACGGGCAGGGCGGCCGTGGCCCTCACAGGAGCCAACACGTGGGACGTGTGGTTGGGATACACAGGTCTGTGGAGGAGGTGAGGCCGACACAATGTGGCCGTGCGCACACTTTTCTCCCTGCGGGGGCCACAGCGCCTTAGGCTGACAAGGCAAAGGCCACAGGGATATGTGACCGGGGGGGGGGGGGGGCAGGGGGAGGTATGCGATTATCTTATGCTATAAGACAGAGTTGGCGCAGTTTTAGGCTGGAGAGTGATGTAATGTGAGTCAGACTTCCAGAACCTTCCTCCATTGAAGGTATGATACCCGGGCTTTCCTTTAAGATACCGAGGTGGTGAGCGAGGAATGAAAGAAGGTAGCTGCTGGGGATGACGGTGCTCTACTTCTCTATGTCTAGAGTTTCCTCAAATAACGGTTTCCTTCTCAGACTCACACTGGAGACGTGAGGCAGTGGCCACGGTCCAGAGGCTGCAGTGACAGGTGACACATGCCCCCACCTCCCCGTGCCAGGCCAGGACTGGGCCATCCTTCCCACGCTGTGAGGACGGCAGGACCCCGACTGGACGCCGCGGGCGCCTGTGCCCAGAAAGCCACGGAATGTGTCTCAGTTCAGGGTTCGAACCCTGACTCTGACGAGCAGTTCGTGCAGCCTCGCCAGCTACCACGCTGGGCCTCAACCGCCTCACGCGGGAAGTAGGAGCGCCTGCCGGGCTCAGGAAGCGGGGAGCACGGCTCTCTGTGTACGCACATGCTTCCTGTCACCACCTGCCCGAGGGCACGGAGGGGAGGGAAACCGTTCAGGTACCCTGCTTTGCAGAATGACAGCACTTGTCATCGGGTCCCTGTGAGGAACGGGCAGGTGACCCCCAGCAGAGTGCCTGAGGCTGGGAGGGGACAGAGAGGAAGGGCTTCAGGCCCCGAGCCTTGGGGGTCCGGGCTCACCCTCCAGCAGCTCCGCATGGCCCCAGTCCTTCTGGCGGTCTTGCTCACAGGGGCTGGCGGACAGGCTCCTTCTGCGGCCCCAGACACCGCTGCGGGCCCCTGTGGGCAAGAGAGAGAGGCTGAAGGAGGCAGAAGGAGGCCCCGCGGCCTGGGGGCCTGGGAGGGCCTCCTGTGGACAGAAATCGCAGGACCCTGGGGCAAAAGAGCCCTGAATTAACAGGAAACCTTCAGTGGTCACGGGCCTCCCACTGGAAAGAATCCAAGAGGTCAAAGGTGAAGGGGAGCTCACGGCTAAGAAAATTTGGGCGTGGGATTGAACGCGAAGGGGTCCTCCAACTAAAGGTGCTGGGAGAGTTCAAAGATCAAGGGCCCTAAGTCGGGTCAGGGGGCTCAAAGGGAAGCCAAGGGTCAAGCGTCAGAGCGCCGTGCCGATCTCCGTCGGGGGAACGGCCCACGGGCGAGTGAAAGCGGGGTCCAGTCAGGGGGTTCCCCAGAACTACACAGGGCAAGGGGCGCCTAAAGGTCACGGCCGCAGGGAGGGGGGCAGCGGCAGCGCTGTCGCCCCCGGGCCTCCCCCACGTTACCTTCCTCGGCCAGGAGGCCGGGGCGGCCCGCACGCCATAAGACCCTCCGGAGACCCGACGCGCCGCGGCCCCAGCGCAGCGCCGACATTTCGCACGCCGACCGCCGCGCCGTCCGCGCTGCTCGCACCGCCCACACCGCGCCTGCGCCGCCTGCGCCTGCCGGGAGTTGTAGTTCCAGAGGCTACGGCGGCTGTGAGGGAACCGGACGGCCAGAGGAGGCAGCCGGAACCACAATTCCCAGGGAGCAGCGGGGTCCCGGAGGCTCCGAGGCATGCGTCGACGGAGCCCTCTAATTGGCTCACCCTTCCGTCAAGGAGGGGCGGGACAGAACCGTTGCTAGGGTAACCCGGGGTGACTCCAAGCTACCTTTGGGAGGGCCGGGAACCCAGGCTGGTTTGTTGTTTGTTGTTTTAAAGGAATGACCTCCGAATAATTAGGACAGCGTTCTGCAATTTAGAGATTCCTGTCTGCGATCTTCATTGCTCCAACTTCGACTTTGGAGCGCCAACTATGACTAGCCCCAGTTTATTGCAGAGGAAGTTGAGGCTGGGGGAGGTCGAGCAAGTTGCCACAATATTAGGGAGACCGCCGCGAAGGCAGAGCCCGGTCTGACTCCCAGCCCCAGAACAGAGGCAGCTGGTCCGTCGTTTCCAGGACGTCTCCCTCGTCCACTCCCTGCAGCCCCAAGGACAGGAGCAGAGCCGGGCGCGAAAAGCAGAGCAACTTACTAAATTGATTTGATGACGAATGGAATGAGCCTGGAGCCTGGAGGTTCCCAGCCCTGATCTTCAGGGTGGTCCCATTTGCGAGTAGTCAGAGCCAGAGCTTTAGAATCAGACCAGGAAGGTGCTGGGGAAACTGAGGCGGGGGAGGGGAGCATCAGCTGCCATGGAAGGATGAGACTAAGACTGTCTGGGGTAACTGTGTTCCAGGCAGAGTTCACAGCAAGTGCCAAGGCCCTGAGGCAGAGTCAACTGTGGGTAGCTGGAGACAATTGAGCAGAGTGGGGGTTAGGACGAAGAAGCAAAGTCAAAGCTGGAGGAATTCATAGGGGCCAGGCCAGTGGGCCTTATGTACTTCAGCTCAAGCTGTCACCTGCCCCTGGACTCTCAGATTTGGTTACTCCATTAGCCCAGAGTGGAAGCTGGACCTGTGCTCTAGGAGGGCCAGTCTCCTCAGCCTGGCGGCCTCTTGAAAGCACATTCCAGACGCAGCTGCCCACGCGGGCCTGTGCGTTATGATTCCAGCGGCTGGGAATGTTTTCAACAGACAGCCGCGTCCTCTCAAAACCTGCCCCAACCCACTCCAAGATGCCCCAGGGGCCTCGACCTCAGATTTGACTCACACCTGGGATGGCCTTCCTGGCCCTGGGGGGCTGAATCAGTTAGACCTGGTCTCCCCAAGACCTAGAGACACCCCCTCGAGCCCCCTCAGTCTGGCAGAGCCAGGAACCTGGCTGGAAGCCCAGACTTTGGAATTTGTGTGCCTTTCTTCACGCCTCAGTCTTCTCTTCTATTCGATGGGGCATCAGATGCCCTAAACCAGTATTTGCCCCGGAGCCAGGGTCTGGTAACTTAGCAGTGAGAAAGTTCTTTCTGCTCCCACTCAAGCATGGGAGGTCTCACTGAGCACTGCCTATATCTGACTCCTACCTCAGCTCTCTGGCTGTGATCCTATCGGTCTGGGAATGTGTCACATGGTCATCTCCTCAAAGTGTTTCTTTTTATGGCTTATCGTCATTATGTCTGCGTATGGTTCTGGCTTTCCACTCCTGATGGTGACATCAATTTTCCTTGTAAAACTTAAGTAAGAAAAATACAAATTTACACAGAAGACAGGTGGAGACAAATGTAATTAAACAGGGAACACAGCGTCAGAGGTTGGAATTTGGGCAACACCGTGTTTCAGAAGCTGTTTGCTTATGTCGGGTTCAGACCCAGAATGTTTTGTCTGATTCATGCCCTGAGATGTTCAGATGAACCTGGGTTGTGTCCGTGTTGAGAAAGGTAGAGAAAGGCCGGGATCTCTAGATGGAAGGAGATGGTATCAGATCCCTGGGGCTGTGTGGACTTTCAACAACAGAAAGTTATTCTCACATTTCTGGAGACCGGAGGGTCAACATCAGGAGCTGTGGGCTGAAATAAAAGTGGGGCGGGGCCGTGCTCCCCCTGGAGGCTCCGGAGGAGGGGGTCCTTTCCACCTCCTCCAGCTTCTGAGGGCTCCAGGCGCCCCTTGGCCTGCGGCCGAGCCCCTCCAGCCTCTGCCTCTGTGGTCACGCGGCCTCCTCTGTGTCTATGTCAAATTTCACTCTGATATTTCTCTTATGAGGACACTTGTGACTGTATTTGGGGCCCACAAGGACGATTTAACTGTATCTGCCAAGACTCTTTTCCCAAATGAGGTAAAACTCACAGCTGCCTGGGGTGAGAACATGGACCTTTCTTTGGGGACCATCAATCAGCTGATCAGAGACTACCCTGGGTTTGTGATCAGGGGGAAAAAAAAAAAAAAAACTATTGAAGGACACTGTGGTGACAACAGAGGCCATCTGAGCGTGGATGGTGGATTAAATTGCAGCTTGGTTATGACAGATAACCTTGCCTTTGGAAGATACAGCCACATGTTTAGAGGGTAAGTGGCACCATCTCTGTGGCTTATTCTCAAATACTGACTTACATAAAAAGATTACGTGTGTGTGTGTGCGTTTTGAGGCATAATGTCAACAATGCACAGGTCAAGAATATAGCTCAGTTTCCACAAACTAAACACATGGGTGTTCCAAAAAAATGCGCAGCACCTAAAACCGCCTCACGATCTCTGGCGCTGGCCCCAAGAGTGACACCCCCATCCTGGTGCCTCGCCCCATAGTTGGCTGTGCCCTGCTGTAGACCGTGACGCAGACGGCCCTCCTTGGGTCAGGCTGCTTCTGCTCAAGTCCATCCACATTGTGGTGTTTCTGGGGTAGAGAATCCCCAGTGCATATATGCTACGTGTATGTACCCACTCTCCTGTTGATGGGGAGCAGAAAGAAGATAGAGAACTGGGGAAGGCAGGAACATGGTGCTCCCTGCACTGGTTTACAACTTTTCTGTAGCTCTGAGGTCTTTCAAAAAACCGCAGTGAGACACCACTCTGCCCCCGCCTAAGATGGCTGTAATCAAAACAATGGACAACCGCCAGCAGCAAGAGGATGTGTAGAAATCAGAACCCTCTGCACGGCTGGTGGGACGCAAGATGGGGCAGCCACCGTGGAAAACAGTCTGGCAGTTCCTCAAAAAAACTAAACATGGAATTATTATATGACCCACTAATTCTACGACACATATACACAGGAGAAATGAAAACACATCCACACACAAACCAGTACACCCACGGCCACGGGGACATAATCCACAGCACCGAAAAGAACCAATGGGGCGCCTGGGTGGCTCAGTCGGTTAAGCGTCCAACTTCGGCTCAGGTCATGCTCTCACAGCTCCGTGAGTTCGAGCCCCACATCAGGCTCTGTGCTGACGGCTCAGAGCCTGGAGCTGCTTTGGATTCTGTCTCCCTCTGTCTCTGTGCTTCCCCAGCACACACTCTGTCTCTCTCTCTCAAAAATAAATGAACACATTAAACTAAAAAAAAAAAAAAAAAGAAGGTGGAAACAACCAAATATCCATCGATAGGTAAATGGTACATACCACGTGTCCACCACGCATGTCCCTCGGCCTCGAGCAGGAGCGCGGCGCCCACACCCGACGTGAACACGCGACGCTCAGGGAGGGAACCAGACACGGGAGGCCACGCGGGGTGTGAGTCCACGTGCGTGAAACGTCCAGAACAGGCTTCTCCCCGGACGGGAAGGGGGCTCGTGGGTGTGGGGGGGCTGGGGGAAGGGAAGTTGAGGCGAATGCTAATGGGGCCGCCTTTCTTTTTAGGCTTATGGAATGTTCTGGAACTAGATAGAGGTTCTAGGTGATGGCTGACAACTGTGTACTGAAAACACTGAGTTGTGTACTTACGTGGGTGAATTGTGCGATGTGTGAACTGTATTTCAATGAAGCTGTTATTAACCTCCATCAACACCCGGGGCAGGACGGCTTCCTGGGCGTGGGTCCCACCCCCGGCACACGGAGCCCAAAGACTGTCCTCCTGGGGGGGAGGGTGGGGACACTCCAGGAAGGGAAGACCCAGTTTTGCCTGGTGGGAAACAGGATGTTATTCCAGGTTTGTGTAATGCGCCCTCTGCCCAGCAAGGTCGTGGATTACCTCGTTCCGTCCTTACAGCCTTCCCTTGCTGGCCCATTTTCCAGAGACACTGAGGCCTGCGGACGTGATACGATCGTGCAGGGTCCCTCAGGCGCTGGCCTCAGGGCTCCGAGTATGGAGACATCCTCTCCCATCTGGAGAGATGCACGGGCCCCCCGGGGCCTGGAAGAGGGAGCAGGGATTCCCCAGAGCTGGAGGGAGGCATCCCAGCTTCTGGCCAGACCGGTTACGCTTCCAACAGGTCAGGCTTATCACCTTGTCTTCGCCCGGGTGCTATTTAAAGGTGCCAGCGGGGGCCCTGGCTGCAGGACCGGGTCTATAGGAGCAGAGGGACAGGGACTGGAGCCCTGGGATGTGGCCTGTGTGGGGCCTTGGGGAAGCTGCTGGCTCACTCGGCCTTGGTTTCCCCATCCGTCAATCCTCTCTGGGCTCTGAGTCTGTGAAGGTTCACTGTGCTCTTCCCAGGATCCAGGGCGCAGGGCGGCTCCCAGTGGGGCTTGGGTGTGTCTGTGTATGAGGAGCAGGTGTGGGTGTAAATGGAGCCACACCATTCCCACCTCCTCGGACATGCCGCTCTGAACGCAGGGGACAGGGTGCTGGCCTCGGTCACCACCCAGGCCTCCTGTCAGCCGGCTACAGACAGGCTCATGTGTCCACCCACCCTCAGCCACCTTCCGGCCCGCAGCTCTCCACCCGCCCCCGCCCCGGCACCCCGCCCCGGCACCCCCGCCCCGGCACCTGTGCGCACAGGACTCCCTAGGCGTTCGCTTGCTTCCCCGCCCACATGCTTCCCCGTGCCCACCCCTCAGTGCAGACCATGCGCCTGCGCCTCTCGCAGAGCCCGGCCTGGCTGACGCGCGCCGGCCAGAGCTCCCCTCCCGGCCTCTGACCCCTGAGCCGCCCCGTTTCCCCCGGTGTCTCACAGATCGCTCGCGCTGCCTGTCCGTCTCTCTCGGCTGCCTTCCCTTGTGTGCCTCAGCCTCCGTCTCTGCAGCTCCGTCGGTCTCTCCCCGTGCTGTCTCCCTCCTCGTCTCTGCAGGCGCGCCCCTCCCACACCCACACCCCCGCAGCCCGCGCCGGCTGGCCCGGTGACTCACGAACGCGCGCCGGCCTCCCCACCCCGCACGACAGGCGCGCGCGGAGGCCGGAGGGTTTTCCCGAGTGGGCCCCGCCTCGCTCCCAGCCCCGCCCCAGTCGCCTCGCTGCCCCGCCCCCGCCCCTCTTGCCCCGCCCCCGAGCCGCCCCATTGGCCAGCCCCGACCTCCCCATTGGTCGGCTCCTTGGCCACCGCCCTGGCCCGCCCTCTCTCCGCCCCACTGTGGAGCGGGCCCCACCCGCGGGGCCCCCTATTGGCCCGCGTGGGCCGGCCCCTCCGGGCGCCCCGCCCCTGCCCCGGCGCCGGCCCCGCCGCGGACGCGCGGGGAAGCAGGAGCTGGCGGCGAGCCGGGCGCGGGGACATGCGCGGCCGCCTGTGGCTGAGCCTGCTGTGGCTGTGGCTGGCGCGGGCGCCTGGAGCCGCGGCGACCGCAAACAGCCCGCGGAGACCGCGCAGCTACCCACACCTGGAGGGCGACGTGCGCTGGAGGCGCCTCTTCTCCTCCACCCACTTCTTCCTGCGCGTGGACCCCAGCGGCCGCGTGCAGGGCACCCGCTGGCGTCACGGCGCTGACAGTGAGTCCGGGCAGGGGGCGCAGGGCAGACAGGCCGGCAGTACCAACAGGGCGGCGTGACAGCGACGATGAGCCGGGCCCTCTAGCGCGCATGGGAGCGACCCAGAGGCTCCTCTGGCTGTGTGCTGTTGGCCAAGTCGCTTCCCGTCCGGAACCTCAGCATTCTCGACTGTGAAATGGGCCCAGCCCACACGGTGGGAGGGTTGGACAGTTAAAGTAAAGGTCACCGAGGAAGCTCCTGGTTCTGGGCCTGGCTCAGCAGCACAGAAAGGTCTTTGCAGAATGGTTGGGGCTGGGGTCACTGGGCCCATTTAAAGAAGGGTGACTGCTGCTCCTGGAAGAGCCCCGGGACGGGGGGGCAGTTAAAATAATGCAGTAGAGACAGAGCTGGGGTCTGGACTCTGGACTCCCCACACTGCAAATCCAAACTCAGGACCTGCCTGAGTTAGGGACCCCTCTATTTCTTCCCAGACACCCTTCTGGTAGATGAGGAAACTGAGGCACAGAGAGGGGAAATGACCTTTCTAGGGTCACACTGCTGGGGTGGGGTCGGGGGTGTTGCTGGGGCTCCTCAATGCCCAGAACCTTGTCAAGTTGGAGTCACCGTCCCTGATGCCCTGCTCAGCAAACGGTAGGCACTCGGTGTTTGTGGAATGCGTGAGGGAAGAGGAAGAATGTATGGGGCAAAGCGAAGCAGGAGCCAGAGATAGCTGGGGACCTAGAACAGCGACCCCACGGGCCCGTCCCAGTCTCTGGAGAGCTCTGAGGCCCAGGTCAGGGAATGGGGTGGGGGGGGGTGGCTAATCACTGGCCACTGCCTGAATCACCACCATTAGGGATAATCACCCCCTGCCCTTCCAGTTGCTTTCATCGGGCTCCCAAGGCTCTCATTAGGTTCACTGGACATGGGCGATGACAGGGGGACTGGCTGGGCCGGTCGATCAGTGGTGGGCACGGGCAGGCAGGGTGGCTTCAGGATGCGTGTGGGGCGTGGATCTGCCGGGTGATTGGCACTGTCACTGCTTCTGTCTGAGCCGCACTTTCCCATCTGGGCAGCAGTGGCGGTGACATGGTTGATGGCTCCATGGGAGGGGGGCGAGGGGGGAGGGGGGAGTTGGAGCTCTTCTCTCCTTCATTAATTCCGTGGTTATTAATTGGGTACCTATTGTATGCTGCCTTGGGCACAGGGGACATAACAGTGATCAGAACAGCCCACCTTCGTGGGGTTCCCACAGCAGAGAATAAAGCAGTAAAACAAGTGAACAGCTAATATGGTAGTTTCACAGGAGGCCACGGAGGGTGCAAAGAAAATGAAAACAGGGTGATGTCCAGGAAATGACTGGGTGGCAGCTTTATCTGAGAGGTCTGGGGCCTCTCCAAGGAGATGGGCTTGAGTTGACTCTCATATAGAGAGAAGAAGCTGGCATGGTGACACATGGGACCACACAGACCCTGTTGGAACACCCCAGAGATGTGGGGTGACCAAGAGGCAGGAAGCACACTCGAGCCAGTGTGAAGGCTCACCCTGGCCCTGCCAAGTGGGAGGACGTCAGCAGGGACGAGGACCACTTTCCTTCCTGACAGAGGAAACAGGAGGGACACAGGCCCCATGCGACATGGAGTGAGCTCCCCATCACCCCAGGCATCCAAGTCCAGGCTGAAGACCAGAGGGCAAGACCTTGACTCCAGATTGGGGCCCAGTACACAGGTCAAGGGTGTAGGCAGCTGCTCATCCCACAGTTCTACCTCACTAGACAGCAGCTCAGAGTGGGGCAGGGCTCATCCAGGGCCACCCATCTGCAGGCCAAAAACTGCCACCCAGTGGCAGCCCAAAGCTGGCTCTGCCACTTCCTAGGCTCGGTTTCCCTCTCCAGGAAGTGGCACAGGAGGCACCTCCCACCCGGGGTTGATGTGTGGGCTTGGTGTGGTGCATACAGTGCTGGCCATACGGTTGGCGCTCAAGCAGTATCAGGGCTGTGCTCACGGAGTTGAGCACAGTGTGCTACGGACACCCCGTGCCCCGCCTCCAGGCCTTTATCTGGACCACGCCTCCCATCTGGAGTCGTCTCCCCGTAACCATGGAAGACGGGGCAGGAGGCCAATTTGGGGGTTGACATGCATCACGTCCGTCACTTGTTCTGACATCATGGCTTGCCCTGGCCGTCCCCTGCCTCCTCTGGGTTGGTTTTCTCAAGCTTGACCTAACTCAGTGCCCTCCTGAGAAAGGCCAGCCCTGCCTCGCTGACTTCCTCCCACTTGGCAGGCGCAGTCCTGCCTTGAGCCTTCACACTGGCTCGAGTGTTCTTCCCGTCCCTCAGTCACCCCCACATCTTTGGGGTGCTCCTGCAGGGCCTGTGTGGTCCCGTGTGTCCCCACACCCAGCACAGGACCAGGCACACAGTAGGTGCTTGGTAAATGTCACCTGAATGAATGAATGAATGAATGAACGGAGAGTGCACAGGTGAGCCGATGGTGGCCCGTGGGCCCTGACTGACCCCCGCCCCCAGGCATCATTGAGATCCGATCCATCCGTGTGGGCGTTGTGGCCCTCAAGGCTGTGCACACCGGCTTCTACGTGGCCATGAACCGCGGGGGCCATCCCTACGGGTCGGTGAGTGCACAGTGTGTGTGGTGTCGGGGGGCAGGGTGTCCAGTGGGGGGGACGGTGTCTGGGGAGCAGGTGGGGTGTCTGGTGGGGGGTGGGGGGTATCTGGGGGCGGGGTGTCCAGTGGGCGGGCAGGTGTCCAGTGGCCTGCCTCACACACTCGACCCCCCGAAGCGGGTCTACACCACCCACTGCAGGTTCCAGGAGCGCATCGAGGAGAACGGCTACAACACCTACGCCTCCCTCCGCTGGCGTCACCACGGTCGGCCAATGTTCCTGGCGCTGGATGGGCAAGGGTCTCCGAGGCGTGGTGGCCGGACACAGCGGCACCACCTGTCCACCCACTTCCTGCCCGTCCTGGTCTCCTGAGGACCCCAGGGGCCACAAGGAGCGGCTGGACGGAGATCCCACAAGATGCCTGAGCTGCGTGCCTGGGGGCCGCGGAGCCCCGGGGCCCTGGCCAAGCACGTCTGGTCCCTCTTCTCCACAAGCATTAACGGGTGTGTGCAGTGTGCCGGGCTGGGGACACTGGAGGACCCCCACAGATGCGGCCTGACCCCCGGGGAGCTCTGGGCTGAGTCTGCGGGGCGGTGGGCGCTGAGCTGAGCACAGGCCACAGGTGTCTGTCCACAGGCTGGGGGGCATGGAGGCCCCACTCGCCACCCCGGCTGGAGACCGAAGGCCCGGGAAGGGCGCTCCGGGCCGGGACACCGCCCAGGGCAAAGGCTCTGAGGCGGGAACCCACTGGTGTCCAAGGCAGGGGGGGATGTCTGAGGGCCAAGGGAGACCGGGCGACATGGATGTGCTGCGGGTCGCGGGTCCCTGTGGCTTCTGTCACCTCACGTGGCACTGGGGACCTTGTCAAGACCTCTGAGACGGGGTGACCCTGGGTTGGGGGGGAGCTGCGTCGTCATGAGGTCCTCAGGAGAGGGAGGCAGAGAGACAGGCAGACCCCGTGCTGCTGGCGGAGAGGACGGAGGAGGGGCCGCGGGCCAAGGGGGCTTCACGTCAGCGTCCTTCGGGGGCTCGGGGGCTCCAGAGCAGCCGTGCCTGCGGCCCACCCGGCGCTCCTGAGCCCTCACCCCCAGCTGAGCCCCCGCAGAAGGAAAGGGGCGGAGCTAAGAGCCCAGGTCCAACCCCCAGCTCTGCAGCCTTGGGTCAGGGGGCCCCACCCTGGCCGCTGTGGGCCGCTCTGCTTGGGGAAGACCGTCCCCAGAGAGGGGGCATGTGCGGACTGGACGCTCCCTGGGGTGAAGGCTCCCCCCGCCCGTGGCCACCCAAACAAATACGCAGTCAGCCGCGGAGCGGGCAGGGGGCTGGGTGGCGCCCCGACAGGCCCTGCCTTGGCTCTCCTTCCGTGACCCCGTGAAGCTGCCGCCGGCCGCCGGGGTCCCGGGGCCGGGCCTGCGGCCGTGGGGCCCGCCAAGGCTGGGGAAGCTGGGCCGCCTCCAGCGCCGACGCAGAAGGAAAAGACGCCAAACTACCTGCTTCTCTTTCTAAGTAGGTGTATTTTTAAATAGCTTTCAAGATACACATATTTTTTCCTTTAAAAAACGTCTGTCGGAGCAGTTTTGTTCTTGTTTGGCTGGTCATCCTGTGGTCCCGAGCCCCCGGCGCCTGGGTTGGGGACTGGCGGCCTGTCCAGGCGTCCCGGAGACCCCGGCCTGGCGGCTCCACCCGGTCTTTCCACAGATCATGCAGGGCCGCACGTGAGCTAAAACGTCCATTTATTTCAAAGCAGTAATAATTTAAAATTATAAAAACCTTTCCGCCGTTGACTGTAGAGGGTGAGGTTAGAGACGAACGGGTGGGGGTGGGGGGCGACGCGCACCCAGGCCCCTGCGGGAGACGCTCCGCGGGGACGGCTGAGCTGGCTCCGGCCTGGCGGCGGCGGTCCCCAAGTCTCAGCCGGCGGCGCGGGGGCGGCGCGGGAGTGGGGGCAGGCGTGGGGGGGCCCTCCAGGCTCCAGCCCCGCAGCGCCCCGACCCCCACCTCCCCCCCACAGGGGGGCCTGGCGCGGGCCGAGGTCCTGGGCCCTCTCTGGGGGGCCGGCAGGGGGCGCTCAGGAGTTGCCGGCTGGGTTCTCGTTGCTGGGCGAGCTGGATGACGATGAGGACGAGGACGACGAGAAGCTCACGCCCGTCAGGCCCGGGGGGTTGGTGGCCGTGTTCTGTCCCGTGAGGCTCTTCCGGCACACGGGGCAGCTGTCGTGCTGTGTGGGGACAGAGGAGGAGGCTGGCGGTTGAAAGGCGGAGCGAGCAGGGTGGGGGTGGGGGTGGGGGGCCCTGGGCCGCAGCGGGGGAAGGGGGCAGCTCACCTGCTGCAGCCAGGGCACGATGCAGGCGTCGTGGAAGAGGTGGCTGCAGGGCAACTGCCGCACGCGCTCCCCCAGCCCGTAGTCGTCCTTGCACACGGGACACTCCAGCCCGGAGCCTGCGGGGTGGGGAGCCGGTGACAGCCAAGACCCGGGGGGACCCTGCCCCCGGTCAGGAAAGGGGGGAGGGCCACTCACCTACGTGTTCCTCGGTGACAGGGACGGTGGGGAGGGCCTGGATCTTCTCTTTGTCTGCAGGCGGGGGGCCCGTGTTTTCAAACTGATTGAGGAGCTGAAAGACAAGAGCCAGAGTGCGGGGAGCTCGGCAGGCAGGCGCGGCCCCTCGCCCCGTGCGGCTCTGAAACGCGAGCCTGGGTTACCTGCAAAAGCACCAAGGCTGCGTTCTCCCGGGTCCCTGGACACCTCCCTCTCCCTCCCCCGCCCCGCCGCTGAAGCTGAGCCCCCACACGCCTGCCCCCTATTCTGCTTGTTCAGTCGGGGTCACCTGGCACCCAGCGCGGAGGCTCCCACCCCGCATCCTCTCGTCGGCCAGACCAGACCAGAGAGCTGGGCCCAGCTTTGGCCAAGTTCACCACCAGTTCACCAGCTGAAGGCCACAGAGGTGGCAGCATTCCCACCTCGCTAGGGCCACCAAGGTCATGGTGAACACCCCGTCCCCGGGACAGCTCAGGAGGAGAATGTGGAAATCCACACGGGGCGCCCCAGCCTCAGACTGGGAGTTATGGGGAGCAGGGCATTCACACAAGGGACATCCTTGTCCCCAGAAGGAAGATGGCGACACCCCGGTCAGTGCCCGCCTCCGGGAGGCCACCCCGTACCTGCGTGATGATGGCATCCAGGCCGTTGGCCCCCCAGGCGTAGTCCATCGGGTTTGAGTGCAGGACACCCCTGGGCAGAGAGGTCTGGGGTTCAAGTGGCGGAGGGGCCGGGGCAGGGCGCGAGGGGACCCGCCCACCTACTCACCAGGGGCCCAGGCCCAGGCTGGGGATGCTGGCAGGAGTGATGATGCCATTGACCAGCTGCTGGATGATCCTGGAACAGAGCGGGGCCAGGCCTGTGGTCAGCGCCCTCCAAGGCTGGGCACCCCCAGGGGAGGCAACAGAGGACACACGTGTCCAGCTTTGAAATTCATGATGTTTTAAATGTTGTGTTTTCAACCAATAAGATTTGCAATCAAACGAAGACCCAGAAAAGCGTCTACCTTGCTGATTATCGGGCCAGCTCTCCCCAAGGCCCGGACAGTGCCCGTCAATGTACGGCCACACCTGCTATCTATTTTATAATTTGGGGGATGGGGATCCCCAGCCCTGCTGTTTGCAGGGGCCCCCCAACGTGCCGGCTGAGGTCACGGTGAAGCCAGGCGGGCGGGCGGGGGAGGGCCCGTTACAGGGCAGCTCACGAACACGAGACACCTGGGCCGGCGGGGCAGCCCAGGCCACGTCCCAGGCACCGGGCAGAGCAGAGCGTGTTGGGCTCCCTGAGACACAGGCACTTCTGCACACGGCCCAGTCCTATCTGTGACGACGCTGGAGAAGCCTGGCCCTGTCTTCCCTGGGGAGTGGGGTCCTCAGAGGAATGTTTCTCTTTTATCCCAAGTCCTTCTGAACAAGCCTCGGGTTACGGAGAAGCTGTTTGCGGTGGCGACGCCGACACAGAGGGGGCTCGGGGCTTTTCGGTGGAGCAGGGGGCCAGAATGGAGGGCACGAGTGGACGAGAGGCCCCCAGACACCCCTGCACACCCCCATTGGCATGGGGGCTCTGGCTGGATGCACAGGGGAAGCGCCATGCCCACAGGTCAGCCCAGAGATAGCATCTGCCCCTTCGTGCCCACAGAACCTTCTGGAAGGGCAGGTGGTCAGGCTGCCTAAGTTGGGGTGGGGCAGGCTGTGCAAGACTCTCAAGAGCACCCTCACCCTTCCAGCGTGGGGACGCCTTCGTGCCGCCCGGTGGCTCGTCGTGCGGTGAGGCGGGCGCGAGGCTGCCGGGCGCCGTACCGGTGCCGGGAGTGCTGCTCTCTCTCCCGACGGCTCTCGGGGTCCCTGCCCTCATCGGCCTGCACCCCAGGAGGGAACGTGGGGATCTCAAAGCTGTCGTCGAAGATGCCGAAAGCAAACTGCCCATAGCCCTGTGGCAGTGTGAACAGGTGCTGGTCCACGTTCTGTGGGGAGGAGGACCGTGTGACCACGGGTGGGGTCGGGAGCCCTGAGCGGCCACCTGGGTCCTGCTCCACCCGGCCCCTTGCTGGGACCCCACGTCTCCTCCGTGCACCACAGGGCACCGTCCCGGGGACACAGCAGGGGAGCCTTGGTGTGTGTGTGAGAGAAAGGAGGAAGGGCAGGCTCCGGTGGCCAAGGGTCAGGTGGGAAGAGCAGTCCACGTTGGGAGGGAGGGGAGGGGTGAGGAGGGCAGGGGAGGGAGGGCAATCTGGGGCCTGACTCACCTCGAATGGTGGCCTGCTCTGGTCCGTGGGGGCTGTGGAGGGGGCGGAACCATTCTCCGTACTCCTGGGAGGACGGGGTGTCCTGGGTCAGGAGAGAGGGAGGCCCTCTCCACCTCTCACCCCTGCCCACCACGGCCCGTCCAGGCTCTGCCTGCCCACAGCCCTGCCCATCCCGAGGGGCCTGGGTGCTGCCGGCATGTGCCTGGGCTGCGTTACCTGGTCTCTTCTGGAAGCTCCTCAATAAAACCAGACTCGCATCTGGGGCAGATGTAATCCTGCGGAGGAGAGGGCGGGTGAGTGCAATCTCGGGGGTCCCGGCCTCTGTGCTGTTAGCAGTGCCTGTGGGGTCCCCGGACACCCCCACCTCAGGCTGCACCGCAGCTACCACCTCTGTGTGGTATTGACTGGAGCCACCTCGACCTGCCCCTCGGTGCAGCCGAGGCCTGACTCGGGTGACGTCCCTGCCGTGCCTCAATGCTCCTGTGCTCCTCAGGTGACGAAACTTACCGAGGTTCCAGGCCTCCGCTCAGCCACTCAGCTGCCGAAGGCTCTGACAGCACCTGCACCACACAGGGCAGCTGGTGTGGGTCCACCTAGCAGTTCCCGACTTGTGCGGATGTGACAACACTGTGAGTGACCCCCTTCTGCACGTAAAGGCGCCTGCCCTAAGCTCCTGGGGGTACAGGACGGGCTGTCACCCAGGACTATCGAGGCCTCAGCAGCTCAGCTCCCAAGAAGGAGGTCACTGAGGGCAGGAAGCGCCACCTGGGCCAAGGGACCAGCCTGTGGGTGTCCCGTGGTGGCGTCTCCGGAACATTCCAGTGGCCCTGGGACAGGCCCTGTGGCCCCAGACTGCAGCGTGACCCCACCCCCCGGCCATGCTCCCCCAAGCCCACCAGTCAGATGGGAGAGAAGTGACGTCCCGACTAGAGACTGCAAGACGGGCCCTGTGGGCCACAAGGTGTGCGAACACCAGCACCACACCTGTGGGTCAGGGGCTTGCACAAGTGTCCAAAAGCCACACAAACAGGAAGACACAAGACACAAGCGCAAGCTGTGCTTCTACCTAAGGTGACGTTTCAGAAGCACTGTCCCCACGTGCCGAGCAGGAGACAAGGAGGGGTCGCCCACGGCCCCGCGGGAGCCCCCACCAGGGCAGTGTGGCCGCCGCAGCATGTGCCGTGGCCTCCCCGCTTCCCCTGCCGCCAAAAGCAAAGGAGGGGGTCTGGGGTCAAAGGACAATCTGAGTCAAGTGGGGGGGACAGGAAGGAGCTGCACCAACCACAGCGGCTGGCAGCAGAACACATAAAGAGCTCTAAGAATTCAACAACAAAAACTCAAACAACCCAGCTAAAAAATGACCAAAGAATCAAAACAGTTCTCCAGAGACCTACAATCGGCGACAGGCCCGCAGAATGACACTCGACGCCGTCGGGCAAAGGCAAACCCGACCCGTGAGACACCGCCTCACGGCCGCCAGGACGCCAGGCTCAGGCGACAATGGTTACGCGTCCCTCGCGAGGTGGAGGAACCAGAAGCCCCGCCGCCCGGGGGGCACGAGGAGCGGCGGCCTCTCTGGACGGCAGGCCTGCGGGCAGTTCCTTGTCAGACCAAACCCGGGGTCACCGCACGACACTGGGACCCCACCACACGGCCCTGGCACACACCCGGGAGAAACGGACACGCACGTCCACGCAACCCCACGTGCACAGATGACAGTGCCCACCGCGCACGCGCACGTCCCTCGGCCGTGAGCACGAGCGAGGCGCCCCCACCCGCCGCCCCGCGGACGGACCCCGAACACACGACGCTCAGGGCGGGAACCAGACACGGGAGGCCACGCGGGTGTGAGTCCGCGTGCGTGACGCGTCCGGAACAGGCTCCTCCCGGGGCGGGAAGAGGGTCGTGGGGGCGGGGAGGCAGAGGGGGAGTGCGGGTGAATGCTAACGGGGACAGGACTTCCTTTTAGGGTGAGGGAATGTTCTGGAAGTGGATAGAGGAGGTGGGTGCAGGGCTCTGAGTGTATGGAAAGCGCCGACTTCCACACTGTGACAGAGGGACTGTAACTCGACAGCCACCAGGAGGCGCGGGGACAGCGACCCTTGTCCTCCCAAGTGGGGACGGGGGGTAACGGGCAGCCCTCGGACTGTTCGCCGCAGTGGGAGACGGCCGTGTGAGGGTCTGTGGACAAGCCAGGGCTCTCACCGCCTGGTGCAGCCCCAAGAGGGCGATGTGGCTGCAGGTGTCTGCGATGGTCTTGGTCAGGACGCTGGGAGCCAAGCCCTTAGCGTGGCCACGTCACAGACGACAGCAGGAGTCTGCCCAGGGCTCCCCTTGGCTCAGGGGCGGGGGAAGGTCCCGGCCCCCCGTGGACCCTGCTGGAGCCCACCCCCGCCCCCGCCCTACACATGAGCCGTAAATCCGACGTGCGCCTGCCCTCTGCAACCAGGATGGTGGCGTTGGGGGGGACCTTCGTGAGAAGCGGTCCCTCCTTTCCTCTGAGCACGCCGCCTGCCCCCAGCCTCCGCGCTGCCCCGGGCAAGGCTGGAAGAGCCCGCGCAGGACTGGTGAGCCAGGCGGCCTCCGCCTGAACCTCAGCCAGACCTGCTGGAAACACAAGCTCTTCTCCCGCTACCAAGGCTCGGAGGCCCAGCCCACATGGCGCACCAGAACCTCATCCGACTGCCTGCTCTGCACTCGCTCTGTGGTCCGCTCCGAACACCCTGGCCCGCCCACTCCCACTTCCCTGCCCCGTCCAGGCCGCCGCCACCTGCCCTCTCTTCTCAGGGCCTGCACGCCATCCCCCTTGCCGGAGCATTCTCCCCCAGATAGCTACCTGGCTTGCCCCCTCTTGGAAGTCGGGTCTCTGCTCAAACGTCACATCCTGGCTGCAAGCCTCGGTCTCCCCACCTGTAAACGGAGGATGGCCTCAACCCTAGGGCTCTGAGATCCAGCAGCCACTGAGGACGAGAGCCATGGCTCAGCTGCTGGCTGCCGGCAGGGCCCTGCCTCCATGCTCTCTAGCCCCATGCAAGGCCCACGCTGAGCCACGGGCCACCTGACACCTGGGATTTCAGGCAGGGCTCCGGCCTCGGCTTGTATGCAGCGGGGAAGGGACCAGATCTGGGGGTGTCCCAATGCTCTCCTCTCCTCCAAGGGCACACCCTTCTGCTTCCTGTTAAATCAGAGTAGCCAGGAAGAGCAGCCTGCATCCAAGCAAGCAGACACCGGATGGACGTTTGCCTCCCACGGGGCAGAGCCTCCGTCCCGAGCCCAGGTCCAGGCGGTGACAGCCCCGCTTCCAAGATGCTGGCTGGCCCTAACTCGGGAGCGCCTGTCTCCGGCTGACGGCTCCTCACCATGAAGTAGTTACTTCTCCTCCTGGGAGGGGGAGAGGGAGCCAAGGGGACCGCGCCAGCATCATCAGCAGTGCCAGAGCACCAACGGCAGGACAGACAGACACTAAACTCACTGAGCACTTGCTCCCTGTGCTCGGCCCCAATGACTTGGCTAGGAGGTGTAATTCGGCCCCTCCTCGGTGACAGGGAGGACACGGGGGCTCAGACCAGGGAGTGGCCTGCCCAGGTCCCCCAGGGTCAGCCCTTGGGAGCAGGCGGCACCCCTTATTCAGGTACGCCTTCACACCACGGCCAGGCTAGAAGGGTTAAATCAGGGAAACCTGGGCGGGGGGTAGAGAGGTGGCTGGCCCCACGGCATCGCCTCTGGACAGGGACCCAGACCTTCGTGGGCCCCAGCCCCTCTGGGCCCCTCCAGGGGAGGCAGAACCCAAGTGCAGAGGTGCATCCAGGGGCATGGACTCAGCCCCAAACACAGACCTGACGGGACACCCAGGCCCCAGCAGCCCGTGGACCCCAGGAACGCACTCGCTGCCCCACACAGCCCTCCTCAGCTGCCACTGGGCAGAGAGGTGCCCAGAGCCCACGGAAAGGCCCACTCTGCTCCCACCACATCCCACATTGACCCCACCTGTCCCCCAAGCGTCCCCACTGGAGGCCAAGGTGCAGAGCCGAACCAGGACCTGGCAGCGTGGGAGGCCCGCTGGGAGCCAGTGATGCTTCCACACAGAGCCCAGCAGATGTTTCAACCTTCCTGGATCTTCCCAGGGTGCTTCTGACACCACTGCTAGGGACGGGGACCCCATGTGACACAACACGTGTGCCCACGGTGCTGGGGGCCCCCTCCTCACTTCAGCCTCCCAACAGTGCCATGTGACTCAGAGGCCTGGGCGCCCTCGGACATGGCTCTGCCCAGCATCCGGCCACCTCTTTGGGGCTCAGCTCACTTCCTCCCCAGCCAACTTCAGAAGCAGAGCAAACGCTCCCCTCCCCGAGCACCCACTGTGTGGAGTTGCAGGGCGGGGTCTGTGTCCCCCAGAGGGGCAGCCCACACATCGGGGCACCTAGGTTTCTGCAGCAGAAAATAGATGGTCGGTCACGGGGCGGGACCTCGCCGCCACAGCGCACAGCCTGCAGCCCATGCACACACAGCCGTCAAATGGCTGCACGGTGCCTGGGGAGGCAGGCCTGGGCCCAGGTGCCCCATAGGGAGGACTCCACTTATTCTGCTAAAAATCGGGGGCCAGGACTCCTCGATGCCCCTCGAGGGGCAAAGAGGACGTGTAGCCTGAGGTGTGAAGAGAGCAAGGGCAGATGCCCACGGCCACTGGGCGCAAACCACGGGCTGGCTCCCCTCCTTCCAGCGCCTTCCAGGTCCACCTCCTGCCCATCACACACTCGGGATGTTTCTGAGAAGGACACCAGTCACCAGCAATGAGACGGCGGCTGGAGTAGGGCCATCGGAGGCACCACCTGCAGCGAGGAGCTCAGGACGCAAGGACCATGGCTGGCGGGGGAGGATGCAGCCCGGACTCTGCCGCCTGCTCAGCCCACCTGCTGGGAACCTGTACCTCCTAGGAGTCGGCCCGGGACGGCCCTGCAGTCACCCCACACAAACCCGAACACCCAGCGCATCGCGAGCGCTGCCGTTTCCTGGGCAGGATCGAGTCTGGGCTTGTGCACCTGCCTCCGAGGCCCTCAAGCCAGCCGGCCCGCCTGGGTCCTGCTCCCACATGCCCTGCTCGGCTCGGCCGCCTCCCGTTCCCGCGCCCTGGGAGGTGCGCCCTGGGAGCACGGGGCTCCCCTATGAACGTGTACTCCCACAGGGCCCCACCGAGTGGGCACAGGTTATCTCGTCAAACCCATTTTGCAGACAGGAAACGGAGGTCCTGGGAAGGTGAGCACCTCACCCAGAGCCTGCCGAGAAGCACCTGGAAACCAAGCGCGATCTCAGTGCCTCACAAGGTGACAAAAATCAAAGGTAAGAACTGCACAGAAACCAACCCCAATGCCCTACAGCAGACTTGACCCTAGAGGGGACCGCCCTACAGCACACCGGCCCTACAGCAGACCAAAGTCGGCGCTACCTTCCCATGAACAGAACACGGTGCGTGCTGGCTGGGACCTTCCACCGCTACCAGGTTAGGAGGCAACCTTCCCGCTCCCAGAACAGCAGGTGTGCCCTTACTGGTAACCAGCCACCCTGTCTACTGGGCCGCATGGAATCCTCCTTCCAACCCACAAACAGGCACACAAATAGCTTACTGCCGTTTGCCTCCGTAGAATTTACCAGCATTCCTAACTGAACATTGGCAATCACTTATCCAACACTGGCTCCCTGACCAGCCTATAAACTGGGAGGACAAAGGTCAAGGACACCTTGTCACCACTGGATTCTGTGCTGAGGAAGGTCCTCCCCAATCCAGTGACAGCTGCAAGAGGTCAGGGTGCTCCGGGTCCAAGGCCACATGGCCAGGAAGTGGGCACACCTGGTCAGGCCCCAGGAAGGGAGGCCCAGAACAGGCCATGCAGACTGCCCAGCCCCAGGCCCCCCTCGGCTCCAGGCAGGCCACCCTGTGGACAGCCTGGGTGCCAGGGCCTGTCCTGGGCTCACAGCAGCCACAAGGGGCTGCACGCAACTAACTTGGGCTGGCGAGCTGTCAGGCCACCAGCCCCCTCCTGCCGTGGTCGCGGTAGAGAAAGACAGAGCTGGGGCTGCAGAGAGCCGGAAGAGGCGGGACTGGGGCAAGTGTCAGCTCCCCCAGCAGGTGCTCACACAGCTGAGGTTTCATTTTATTCCTCCCTCCTCCTGGGGAGGAGGCAGCCTCTTGTTTCTGGAAGCTGCGCCTCCCTACCTTTTCTTGCTTTCTGGGCCTACGCACTGCTCTCTACTCCCAGCCTGACTTTAGCCCGCTTCCTTCCTCTGTGGTTGGGATGATCCTCAGGATCCTTCCCCTGGCCCCCTCCTCCCAAGGGTCCCCACTGCTGGAAAAGGCAGAACTGAGTCTGACTCTGAGATGAGAACAGCCTCCACCCACCACCCAGGCGACTGTGGGGAGCATGCGGGCCAGAGATAAAGTACAAGGAGCACCTAGAAAGCGCTCGGTAAATCCTCCCCACCTGCAGGACCTCCCCAATCCCGTGCCTCCCTCCTGCCGCTCGGTGGGAGCGGTGGGAGCGGGCCCTGGGGCAAATGTCAGGGCGTCAAGGCCCCGGCTGCCCTGCCCTGCCCGGCGCTTCCCCTGGCTTCATTTTTCCCACCTGTAACGTAGGAGACGGTCCGACGAGACCACCGCTTTCCCGGCGGCCTGGAGCAGGGGGGCACGGGCCCCAACCCAGACCTGGACCCGCTGATTAGGCACTTCTGGGGTGCGGAACCTGGAACCCCTCCCGCACCACACGGTTTGGGAAACGTTGGCCTGAACGAGCAGAAAGCAACACCTGGCCGCAGGCGGGCCTCAAGCCGCCCCTCACCCCCACCCCCGACTCCAGGGAAGCACAAGAGCGCAGGCTCGGTCACAAGTCCGCCCGGGGCCGTCAGGCCCGGCCAGGTACACAGTCGTCCGGCCTCGACCGCGGCGAAGCGGGCAGGAGGGCTCGGCGGGGCGGCCCGCAGCGCCGGCCACGCGCGCCGGGAACGGCCCCCGGCGACACCCCCGGGGTCCGATTCCGCCACCTCCCGCCTGCAGGGCGACGCGCCGAGCGCAGGTCACGCGGCCTCGGCGGGCCTCAGTTTCCCCGTCGGGGACCCAGCGGCCTCCCCGCCGCGCATCTGGGATCATTCGCCCCACTGCTTCCCCGGGGGCGGGCCCGGCCTCCAGGCCCTCCGCAGAGACCCGGGCCAACGCTGCCCAGGCCTCAGTTTCCCCGTAGGGGCCAGCTCGCCTCAGGCCGAGGGAGAGAGCCCCCGCCCGCCGCCCCGGCCCGGGCCTCACCGGCAGGCGCGGCACGATCTCGACCGAGCAGCAGTGGCAGAAATACCGTCCGGGCTGCGGCGACGCCTCGGCCATGGCCACTGCCGCCGCCTCCGCGCCGCCCGCCCCCCGCGCGCGGCGCCCGCCGCCCGCCGCCGGCCGTTTGCTGCTCCCTTGCCGGCCGACGCGCCCGCGCACGCTCACGCAAGGCACGCAAGGCACGCACGGCGTGGGGTGGAGGAGCGCGCGGGAGCGGGGCGGGCGGCGCGCGAGGCAGGCGCCTGCCGGGGCGACGGTGGTCGCGGAGGGACAAACTAGGTTACGGGCGCCTCTCGCACAGGGCTCCGAGTAAGGGGACCCGAGCCAGGCCTGGAAGCCCAAGGACGGCGCTGGGAGAGGCGGGGCCGAGTCTCCTTGGCAACCCGGAGCGGGGAGCGGGGGGTGTGGCTGGGGGGCGAGGCCTGGCGCCGCGGCCGCGGGGAGGCCGAGGGGCGGGGCCTGCGCGGGGCGGGGTCGAGCCCCTCCTCTCCGAAATACTGAAGGCCTCCACTTCCCTCCAAGCGTCTTCCGTCCCAAGTGGCACCTTTGTGGCCCCCCCCGCCGTCCTCACTGGTTCTGGGCACCGGGCGCACTCTCACCTCCGGCCTTTGCACTTGCTGTGCCCCCGCCGGCTGCGCCCCAGACACCTTGCGTCACTTTCTTCCTCATTTTCTTCTTTCCACCTGGCGAACCGGAGGGTCGGCTCCACAGTGGAAGGGATGATCTTCGTGTCTTGTTCCCAGCTGGGCTCCTAACAGCGCCTGGTGCGCAGGCAGTCCACAGACACGCGTTCAGTAAATGCAGCGGCCGGTCCTGGGTCCTGCCCTCTGTGCTTCAGTGTGACCCCTGGGATAAGGCGGTGCGAGGCCTACGGGGCGTAGCCTCGGTTTTGAGAGCGAAGGGAAGCTAACCACTCCCCTCTCCAAAAACTTAATCAGCAAAAGCTGCATTATCACCTGGTACAGGCCCGGAACATTTCTGAGGTCAATTCCAGCCCAATCATGCACTTGCTTCTTTTATCTACTCAACAAAACGTTCACGGAGCACCTGCTACGTGCGACACTTTGAGATGGGTGCCACAAGGACACAACACGGAACACAACTCAACAGGCAAAGAAAGTGGCTCCGTGGCGCAGGGAGACGGAGCTGGATGCAGACACCTCAGCCCCATGAGACTGAGCCAGAGGATGGGTCCCTAAGCTGGTACTGGTTCTGCCTGGGGAGACAGACAGGGTTTCCTAGGGGAGGGGGCATTTGAGCCAGGGCTTTGAGGAATGAATAGGAGTAGGTTGGATTTGGGCTTTCCGAAAAAGGGGGCACAGGAACCAGAGTGTCAAGGAATTAAAAATTGGAGCCTGTATACAAAGGATCTTGAATGTCAAGAGGCTAGGGACAGGGACTTCTCTGACAGCCAGTCTTGTCCCCCTCAAGGTTCAGGGGTGATTCCAAGCCATTCCTGCTCTGACCACTAGAGAGCATGTGGGTCCCATCACTGGGAACCCAGGAAACCGCAGGTCCAGGGAAGGCAGTTCATTTCAGGCCGCTCATGCCCAGTGCCTAGCTCATTTCATACCACCAACATCATTCATGCATGCATGCATGCATGCATGCATTCATCCTGTACAAGCTTATGAGGTATCCAGTAAGAGGCCTTACGTGCCTGTGTTCAAGTCCCACCAGGTCATGCTGGCTGTGTGACCCTGGGTAGGTCGCTTAACTCCTCTGTGCAAACGGCAGAACCCACCTCCCGGGGTTTGGGATTGGATGAGGCTTGGAGCACACATGGGCGCACACAGCACCTCCTCGGTCCTCACTGGGCCCTGTTGCCTGCCCTGAGTTCACCTGCCCCTTGCCCACCCTCCCCTCGCCCAGCCTCACTGGCCCCCTGGGGTGGGTCAAGCTGCATCCTACCTCACCACCCATCTGGTCATGCCCTCTGCTGGGCACACCCTTCTCACTGTCCCTTCTGTTTCCTTGCTTCTGTGTCCACTCCCTTCCTGAGGGAGCCCCATCCCATAGGGCACCTCGCTGCCTGGGACCCCGCTTCTCCCACAGCTATCCCCAAATGCATGACGCCTGTACTCAGCATGTAGTAGATGCCCCATAGATTTTTGAATAAATGAATAATTAGTGAATGCCTGCTGTGTGCCAGGCCCAGGCAGGGTTTGTATACTAGAAAACTAAGAGCTAGGTATGTGCCAGGCCTGAAGTTTAATTTTCATGTAAGCACCATGACGTGAGGAAAAGTAAGACCCCCCATTTTATAGGTGGGGAGACTGAGGGCTCAAACATGATCATGCAGCAGGGCCAGGACTCAACAACAGGCCCCTGGACCTCTGTGCCCACCGCATGGGCTCTTGCCTGCTGGCCAACCTGGGACTGTGACCTTAGCATGCAAGCACTCAGGTGGCGTCTGCAAATGACCCAGTGTCTCTGCGATTCTGGGGCCCTCGGGTACCCACTTGTGGCCCAGTGACTACCTTGCTGTTGCTGCTGCTGCTGCTGGGACAGGCCCGAGAGGGCGCTCCAACTGCTGGGCACAGTGAGACACAGGCGGCACCTGAGGGTTGCCCAGCACTTCCTTAGAAAAGCTTTGAAAGTGGGTTAAAGGGGTAGGCGGCATCTGGACGCCCACACATCCCGAGGACAGGGCCACGCCTGCCTCCTCAGACCTCCCACGACACGGTTGTGCTTCCCCCCAGACACCGCCGCACAAGGACCTACAGCCCCTCCAAGACTCAGTCTTTCATCTCTAAAATGGGTCTTCGTCCCACCTCCCAGGGAGGCTGCCTCTGCAGACTGTGGCTGTGATTATAGTTTCCCAGCTGTCTCTAGTTGCTAGACCTTTCATGCCCCTTCCCCTGTGCCTGGAGCACCCTTTCCTTCCGCCACTGCTGCCACACTGAGGCGGGGGGCCTCCGGGGCAGAGGGGAAGTTGCCCTGACGGTGCACACCCTTCTGAGTCCCCACCTTGGGCAGGTGACTTCTGCTCTTGCTAGGTTTCCTCGCCTGTCACCCAGGGGATCCGTAGCTTTATCCTCCATGTGGGGAGATTTCGGGAAGTGGAGCCTGTACAGGGACAGGAGACCCCTCCTCCCCTAATCCTCCGCCAGGCTCACTCTGTTCCTTTTTTTTTTTTTTTTTGTGGCTTTGTAGTGTGTTTTGATCCTGATTTGGGGTAAGTGACCATGTTCGAACTTCTTTCCTATCTTGTTTATTTTCCCAGATGAGTCTCAGAACAGTCTGGAGTCATTCTCTCCGGTGGGACACTGCCATGGAAATTTTGGTTGGAGCCACATTCAACTTAGCGAGCTGGTAGCATTAAGGGGCCCGTCCTGACCAGGTGGCCAGGTGTGCCCTCATGTATTCACCTACTTTGTTTAAATCAAGCCTCAGGGAGGAGCCTTTGGGGGCTTCGGGGCTGGAGAAAGCTGTTAACCATGCATGTTGCAGGCGAGAGGCTGAGGCGCCGAGCAGGGAGCCCACTGCCCCAGCAGCCAATACTCCTACGGGTGTGAATATGCCGCCGTCTGCCTGTGCAGTTTTTGTCTTTTTAAATTTTTTATTTGTGTATTTTCAGTTCTTTTTTTCCATTTTAAAAATTTCATTTGAGAGAGAAAAGAGAGAGAGAAAATCCCAAGCAGGCTCTACACTCAGCCTGACTCCAGGCTTGATCTCATGACCCTGGGATCACGACCTGAGCAGAAATCAAGTCAGGCACTCAACCGACTGAGTCGCCCGGGCTTCCCTTCCCTTCTCCTGTATACTTGTTGGTGTGTACTTTCTGTTTCTTTTTTCATTTTACTCCTACACACCCAGGTGTATCTCTAAAAGCAGGCTCCTTGCTTACCTGAACCAAACGCACATTTACCAAAAACACAGCCAGAGCCAGGGCTCATCTGCAGCCTCATCCAGGTCTGCGCTCGTCCCCGTGGTTTCGTCTCGGTTCCGCGTCGGTTCTCCCACGTGGGACGCTTCTGGGCCTCGATCTCGCACAGGGCACGGGCTTGGCTGCGGCCAGGCGGGTTCCGGCGCTTTCTCTCCCCATCCGCACCCCAGGGCGCTGCGCACCTGAGCTCACGCCGACGACGGGCCAGGGTGGCGGATGGCGACTCGGGTGGGGCCACGGGGGGGCCCGACCCTGTGGGACCCCGTTGTGCCGGTGAGGGGTCGCTCGCGGGCGCCCCGGGGGCGAGGACGCAACGGCCCCCGCGCAGCGGCGAGCGCGGCGACCCCGGGCGCACCGGGTTTGGCCGCCGAGCGCCGCCTCCGAGCCCCGGCCCCGGCCCCGTGAGGCGGCGCGTTTGCGCGGCTCGAACTGCGGTCACTCGTTAAGAGCAGCAAACGGGACCCGACACCGGGCTTCGCGGGCCACGTGCGCCCCGCCCCTCCAGGCCCCGCCCCGGAAGGCTGTCTCTCCCACCATTGGCCAGATCTGGGTCACACGGTCAGGCCTCATCCAATGGCCAGCCAGAAGCGGGGGGGGGGGGCTACCTTCAGTTACAAATAACACGGCCGCTCCCCGCACAAGGTCTCGTCGCTTTGCAGGGACGGGGTGCGGCCGGGGCGGGGGGGGGGGACGGGGAAGAGTCGCAGCGGGAATTGCACGGATGGAACCCAGGCTGAGAAGTCCGGGCTTCATCCCGCGGCCATGGGGCGCCACGGGTGGCGCTTGGGAGGCGAGGGCACATCCGATGAAGGCGTCGTGACGCCCCCCGGAGCACCCACCTGCCGGCGTCTTCAGCTGCTGCCCGGTCACCGGCATCACATGCCCTGTTACAGAACCCGCAAGGCCTCGAGGGTGTCGGGTCCTCGTGCAAGAGCTGTGGACGCGAAGTTACGTGGAGTCCATCACACGCCTTCTGGCTTGAGGAGGGTGAGGAGGTGGGGGAACCCTGAGCGCTCTGGACCAGGCTGAGACCCATATCCTGGAGCCAGAGGTCTGCACTTCGGGGGGGGGTGTGATTCCTATAGCCCCTGCGGACCCCTGCTCCGGGTCCTCAAGGCTCCACTTGAATGAAATGTAAATGGGCTTGTTGAAAGCTGGTTTCGTCCACTGTGAGCGACAGAAACTCATCTTAAATGGACTTCATCTTATTGGGGTGGAGGGGTTCAGGCGCAGCTGGATCCAGGGAACCTCTGCTGCCCCCTCTTCGCTCAGCATGCCACTGGACTGGCCTTCCCTGGCCATTGGTAGGAGCCACGCTGCGCTCTAGGCTCACACCCTCCAGCTCAGGCAGGAAGAGGGTGTGCCTATCCCAGAAAAAAATCTCTTCTCGGCTTGCTGAATGTCAGATGATCCTCACTGGTTGAGCGTGGGTTGGTATCCATTCCTGGGGTCATTTGGAAACACAGGAGGTGATTTCTCAAAGGAAAACCCAGTGCTGGGACCAGGAGGAGATGCCAGCCACAACCTGGGGGCTGGCCCTCATTGTCCAATCCAGAATGAGGAGGGCCCTGCCCCAGAGTTCAGCACCGGGTTCTGGAATCTTGCTTCTCTGGTACTGACTCTAGTCCCAGCACCGTGGGGCTTTGCGACTGCTGGAAAGTCACTTTCCTTCCTCCAGCTTCAATGACCCGCTCTGTAAAATGGGTGCCTGCCTCACAGCAGTGCAGTGAGTGGGAGAGGAGACTCGTCACCCATCTTCCCTGGACAAACACCTATCTGCTAATTAATAAGAATCTGTGCGCACATGTCATGCCCCCTACTGTCCAGGGCACTGTCCCTGGTGTCCTGCCTGGAATCTGCAGTATTGGGATCTGTGCCCGTTTTGCAGATGAGAAAATGGGGCACAGAGAAGTGACACTTGGCCTAGTCAAAGCAGCACATCCTCCTTCTGCCAGAGGCCCCTTCTTGCTCCAGGCTTCGGGGTCACTGCCTTGGAGACACCACAGCCTTCCTGCTCCTGGGCCTCTATACTGATGCCTGTCTCACCCCTGTCATCACTCCCCTGTTTGTCCCCAGCCAGCGGGGACCCTATCACTGTGGCGCCAAACCCAGTCTGTAGGGCCTGCTTGTACTAGTTGCCTGTTGCTGCTCTAACAAACCAGCACAAACGTGGTGGCTTCAAACAACACACATTTTTCTCTTCCAGTTCTGGAGGTCAGAAGTCCGACACAGGTGTCACAGAACTAAAATGAGGGTATGCGCTTATAATTTAAAAAATTTTTTAAAAATTTTAAGGTTTACTTATTTTTGAGACAGAGAGAGACAGAGCACGAGCTGGGGAGGGTCAGAGAGAGAGGGAGACACAGAATCTGAAACAGGCTCCAGGCCCTGAGCTGTCAGCACAGAGCACAACGTGGGGCTCGAGCCCACGAACCGTGAGATCATGACCTGAGCCTAAGTCGGACGCCCCACCAACTGAGCCCCCAGGCGCCCCAGAGGTGGGCTCTCTCTTACCTTTAGCACAAACATCCCATCACTTCTGTCCCCACACCCCCGTCCTCACCATCGTTCAGTCCAATGTGATTTAAACCTCCTCCTCTGAGAGGTCCGCCTGGATCCCCCCAGTCTCCATTGGGTACAGCAGCCTCCATCACAATGCTGATCACTTTGGATTGTCATTGCCTGTTTTCTGTAGGGTCTGGAGGAGTGAAGATGGGGAGTCATGGTGGGTGTCTGAGCTGGGGAGCAGCCTTATGGTAGACAGCCGAGGTAGGAAGTAGGCTGCAAGGAATGAGGCTGAGGCCAGTTCAGAGGCGACAGGAGGGGCATGAAAAGGAGAGACCGAAGAGGGGGGCTCCCCAGAGAGGGCCAGTGTCTTGTTTAAGGTCACGCAGAACACGGCCTCTGGGTTGGAGAGACAGGCCAGGATGGGAGGCAGAAGGCTGCTGGCAACTGGTCTGTTTCGAACCCACGCCAGGCCAACAATGACCCTTTGGTTTGCACAAACCCAGGCTGGGGCGGCTGAGCCCCAGCAGGGTCAGCTCTCGGCCAAGGCCACAATGTCCAGAGCTCTTGCACACCCCTGGTGAGAACACAGGGCCCCATCCCTGCGCCATCCCCAAGCAGGGGAGAATCCCCTCACGTACTCAGAGGTCAAGGACGGTAAGAAGCTGGGTGTCCTCCCTCAGTGCCACTAGGCAGGAACGTGGCCCTTGGCCATGGTGGGAGCACCCGGGTCAGGCTGAGCAGCTGAGATGGAGGACGGGGTCTACGCATGGCACGCTCTGCTGACAGATCTTGTGCACACAGAAGCTTTTTGCCGTGTGGCCACAGGGGTCTTTGGCATCCATACCTGAGGATGGGGGGGTGGGGGGGTAACATTGTTGTCAATCGTTTTTATCTTCCTGAAAGCATTTACTCTCTTTGAAGTTATATTTAATTTGTTTACGTACATATTTTGTTTTCATGGCCCCTACGAACCACAGCTTGGTGATGGCAAGACTGGGCATCCCTCGGTCACTTGGGAGCCCAGCACCCCTGAATGAGCCCTGCCACGATGACACGGTCACCGATGATTTCTCGCAAACTCAGAGAGAGGCTGCACGGGACCCCTGAGCCTTTGGAGGATGCCCTGACGATTTTGGAGGGGGGGCTCCCCAGCAGGAAGGGCATCTGCGGCACTAACACCCCACTGGATTCGGTACTTTCCAGGGCCACGCTGATGTCTGATGTCACTGTCACTGTCACAAACTGTGGACAGCCTGGGAATCCAGATGGTCAAGGGCTGCAGACACAGCACTGAACCCGAGGAGAGGAGAAAACCCTAAGCCAGTGAGTTCTTTTTGATGCGACCTGGGAGGGCAGTTCGCAGAGGTCTGGGGGGCAGGGGTGCGGTCTCCCAAAGGGTGCGGGGCACACTTGGGAAGTCTTGGGGTAGGATCGCTGCCGGCCACGACGCTGGGACCTTTGGTGGCTCCGGTCTCCCCCTGTCGCACCCTGCACCCCTCCGCCTCTGCTGCCGCTCAGCCGCACTCGCTCACGCCCAGCTGTGCCCACTGGCTCCAGCGGCCAGGTTGGGGACCCGGGGTGCGAGTGCGCGTTGCGGGGGGGGGGGGGGGGGGGGGGGGGGGGCTTAGGTCTCCGGAAGTCTGTGGGCGCATAGGGGCGGGGAAGAGGCTGGGGGCGCCACGTGAACGAGCGACCACAAGCGAGCCACGACGCGGTTAACGCAGAACCGCGCTCTGCGTGCGTCTCCGGTTAGCTCGGCCACAGCCCTCGGGCCGCAGACCCCCCCCACCCCAACGCACGGCGAGCCCGGGAACTCACACCCGGGGCCACGGGGCCACCTTTCCAGACGGGCTCCCCGGCTCCCAGGTCGGACTCCCGCCCCCCACCAGCAGCTGCCCTCGGGGCGGCCAGGCCCAGCCCCGGCACACACCGTGCGCGACACGGCCCCGCGCCCCGCCCCGGCCCGGCCCGGCCCCGCCCCGCCCGCAGCCAGCGGGACCTTTATAGGGAGCGCCCGGCCGCGGCGCTGGGAAGTCGGTGCCGCCGCCCGCCCGCCCGCCGCCCGCCGCCCGCCCGCGCCTCCGACGCGGGGGCCGCCGCCGTCTCTCCGTCCACCATGCGTCCCGGGACGCCGGGGCCGCTGTGGCCACTGCCCTGGGGCGCCCTGGCTTGGGCCGTGGGCTTCGTGGGCTCCGTGGGCTCGGGGGACCCCGCGCCCGGTGAGTGGGGCGGCCGGAAGGGGCGGGCGGGGTGGGCCACCCACGTGGGCCTGCCCGGAATGCGGGCCTTGGGGGAGATGTTGGGGGCTCTGTGGCCGTGGGAGCTGGTGATCAGCGGCCTCCTCCGGTTCATTCCGGGAGGGCTTGGGGCTCCCCTCCCCCAGCCCCAAAGGGCCCGAAGGAGGGTCACCAGGAGGTCAGCAGAGCAGATGTGACTCTCTTTCACAATTGTCAAGAGCAGTAGTCACAACGACGGCTGACATTTATCGAGTGCTTAGTGTCTACCTTTTCCCTCCTTGAATTCATATGATAGCCCGTTAATGTGTGTACGCTCGTGCCCATTTTGCAGATGGGGAAGTTGAGGCGCAGGGTCATACAGCCCGCCAGTGGCCAAGTCAGGATTCATACTGGGACCATCTGAGTCCCGAAGCCCCAGGGAGGCAGGGGGATGGCAGGCCCCGGGACCTCCCCCTGAGGTGTCAGATCCTCTGGCTTTGGCTTAGGCGGATGGGCCATTTTTACCCCATACCTGTCACTTGTTGGGGGATGCCAGGCAAGGAACGTCCCCACTCCTATACTCAGTTTCTCCTTTTAGAAGATGGGTGCCAAGAGTGCTGAGTTCCCAGAGCTGTTGCCTGAAAGGCGCTGTGCACGGTGCCCAGGAACCAGTGAGCTCCCTGGGATGGGGGCTGTGGCCATTCCTGCCCCCATTTAAGGGTGAAGGGACTGAGGGCTGTGTGCCTTCCTACCCCACCCGGCAGCCCCACCCCAGCCCCGCATGAAGGGGAGAGCCGAGCCCCCTCCCCGAAGGCCGTGTCCCCAGGGAGATGGTGAGCTCATGCAAGGGGAATGTTCCCAAGTTGGAGTGAGTAAGAGGCGGGCCGGCAAGGGGGGGGGCTGCCAGGCAAGGGGGGCTCTGCGTGCCCTCGGGCCCTGTCTAGACAGAGGGCAGAGGCGGAGAGGGGCTCCAGGGCCCACTGAGCCTGACGTGTCCAGCTCTGAGTGTTTGACTGGTCAGGCAGGACGCCAGGCCTGGGCCTGGGGGCCTGAAGCGGGGTCGGGGGTGGGGTGGGGAGAGCTTCCCACTAAGAGTGAGGGCTGTGTGTGGGGTGGAGCTCAGAGAGGAAGAAGAATGCCAGAAGGATCCAGACCAGAGCTGGATGTGAGCACCTGTGCAGGTCTCTGCCCCTGCTTCCCAAGTTGGGAGCAAATCATCCCCTCTGTAATTACTGAGCCACAACTGTATGCATCCCCCGCGGGCAGGGAGCTGGGCAGAAGGTCAAGGCCTGGGTGTTGGCAGTGACATAGGAGGGCACCTCTGGTCCAGCGGTACCTGTGCCCCTTGTCCACAGGTGGGGTCTGCTGGCTCCAGCAGGGCCGAGAGGCCACCTGCAGTCTGGTGCTGAAGACTGACGTGAGCCAAGCCGAGTGCTGTGCCACCAGCAACATCGACACGGCCTGGTCCAACTTCACTCACCCGGGGAACAAGATCAGCCTTCTGGGCTTCTTGGGCCTTGTCCACTGCCTCCCCTGCAAAGGTGAGCCCGGGGCATCGGCCACACGTCAGGGTCACCGTGTAGCAGGTGGGGCAGCCGAGAATGAGCTCCCCACCCTGGGGGTACGCAGGAGGAGGGTGAGGCCACCGGGAAGGGTGTTTGTGGAGGGACCCAGGGCTCAGAGAGAGGAGTGGACCCGAGGTTCCAGGCCTCAGCCTCCCTGCGCTGAGGATTCAGGACGCGGCTCGGAGGGCTCCCCAGCTTGGTCCCTAGCCTCTCGGCCCTTGCTCATGCTGAGCCCTCTGCCTGGATGGCCTTTCCCACCTGCAGTCCTCCTGGTACACTCGACTCACGCCCAAGTCCCGGGAAGACGGATTTTCCTAACTGGCCCTTTGGGTTTGTGACTCCACAGCTGGTGTTCCCAAACACGTAATCTGCCCATAACCCCAGATTCCAGTGATCTGTGGTGAGACCACAGATGCGTGTTTAATAAGTCTGTGCCTTCTGGATCATGTTCTGAGAAATGCTGCCTCTTTCATCAGACTAGGAGCTCTCTGAAGGCAGAATGATTGAGTGAATAAGCCAAGACGTATTGTCCGTCCCGGAGAAGGGGCTGGGGATTGTCCCAGGGCTCTCTGGCCAGGGCTGAAACTGTCAGGGCCCAGAGGTGGTGTGAGGCATGGCTTAAAGGAAGTGGGCATTAGTAGTAGGGTGTCGGAGTGTGTTTAGGAAGGAGTTTGCCAGACAGAGAATGTATGGGATCAGGCCCTAGTGGGTGGGGTCAGGGCAGGGGAGCAGGGAGGAGGCCGGAGCGGAGGGCCAAGCCCGGAGCCCAGCTGGCCACCGGGATGTGATTAATCCCTGATCAGCCTGGCTGGGTGGTCTTGGACTCACTGCCATGTGCCCTGACTCCCTCCAGAACCCACTCTGGGTTCTGGGAGGAGGACAGACTTCAGGAAGTGCCTGGCCTGGGCGTGAGAAGGTCCAGACCCCCCCCCCCCCCATCTCATCTGGCCTTGGGGAAGGGAACACAGTTCTCCCACTTCCGTTCTGCTTGTGAAGCCACCCAGGGGGAGTGCTTCCAGATGTGTGCGGGCAGGCGGCGTGGGAGGCGTCCAGGTGCTGCCCACATGCCCTGCCTCTGCCTGGGTGGGGGCACCAGCGCACCAGCTCGTGTTATGCTCATGCTCCTCCCTAGGGTGGGTGCCCCCGTCAGCTTCACTTACACACAGGGAAACTGAGGCCGCTCTCTCAAGAGCTCAAGCCTAGCCTCCAGGCCCACAAGTAACAGAGGTGGGGCGTCTCATCGGGGGTCTGGCCTGGAGTTCTCATGCCGAGGGGCCCCTGGCCCTCCTCCACGCACAGCTGTGACAGGGCCTCAGGAGCCCCCTTTTGTAAACCGCTAGCAAAATGGCATCACCTCCTAGGGGTGGTTGGGAGACTGCAGGGAGCCCGGGAGTGCCCCGTAAGAGGAGCAGCGCATTAATGGGTGTGGGTTTCCGAAGGTCCTGGGCTGGGTGGGGGCGGAGACCCCAGGGAGAGACCTGCCCTGGCCGGGCCTGTTTCCCTGCCAGAGAAATAGGGCTGGCGGGGAGGGGGAACCCCCCGGTTCACAGGGCTCGGGAGGTGGGAAGCCCACTCCCCAGGAAATGAGCCTCAGGCCGGTTGCCAACGCCCTGCCCTCCCGGATGCGGATGCCTCCTCCGGGTTGGTCCCGACAGGGGGGGGGGGGGGGGGAGCGGGGGACACAGACGCCGCCGGTCCTCCCCTGACCCGCGCCGGGACGGGGTGGGGCCCCGCTCTGCTGACGCAGTCGGCCCCGGGCCCGGGCCGGCCTTCCCACGACCGCGCATAAATCCGGGAACGGACGCCAGCCCGAGCGGACGGCCCCGCCGCGGAGCGGCACTGGCAGCTCGTTCCCGCACCCCCAGAATCCGGGCAGGACTCCCCACTCCCGCCCGCTCTGAGCCCCGCCTCCAGACCGAGCCCCAAGCCCAGGCGCAGCCTCGACTCCAGCCCACCGGGCCCCCGGCTGGTCTCGGCCCCGACGGATCCCGCACCCATACTTGGACCCAGGCGCCCTCCCCGGGGTTCCCCGACCCCCGCCCGGCCTCTGGCGTCAGAGCAGGGGGCGGGAGCGCCTCGGGCTCCGAGGACGCCCGGCCCCGGCCACGCGCTCCCCGCCCCCCCCACGCGCGCGTGCCCTGTGTCCGCAGATTCGTGCGAGGGCGTGGAGTGCGGCCCCGGCAAGACGTGCCGCATGCAGGGGGGCCGCCCGCGCTGCGAGTGCGCGCCCGACTGCGCGGGGCTCCCGGCGCGCCTGCAGGTCTGCGGCTCCGACGGCGCCACCTACCGCGACGAGTGCGAGCTGCGCGCCGCGCGCTGCCGCGGCCACCCGGACCTGCGCGTCATGTACCCCGGCCGCTGCCGCAGTACGTGCGGGCGGGGCGGGGGCGGGGCCCGGCGACGGGGGAGCGCCGCCGCCCCGGGTCTTCCGCCGGGTCGGTCGGAAGGAGGAAGCGCGGGGCGGGGCCCCGGGACGGGAGGCTCTCACGGGGTGAGGGACTGCGGTGCGTGACTCCGGGAGGGGTTCGCGGGTGCGGCCGGCGGGGCGGGGCCTGGCTGGGGGACGGGGGGGCGGGGGGGGGGCTCCCGGCGCGGCCCGCCCCCCTGACGCGCCCCGGCGCCCCGCTCGCAGAGTCGTGCGCGCACGTGACGTGCCCGCGGCCGCAGTCGTGCGTGGTGGACCAGACCGGCAGCGCCCACTGCGTGGTGTGTCGCGCGGCGCCCTGCCCCGCGCCCTCCGGCCCCGGCCAGGAGCTGTGCGGCAACGACAACGTCACCTACCTGTCTTCGTGCCACCTGCGCCAGGCCACCTGCTTCCGGGGCCGCTCGATCGGCGTGCGCCACCCGGGCAGCTGCGCAGGTGCGGCGCGGAGCGGGCGGCGGCGGCGGCGGCGGCGGCGGGGCCGGCCTCCGCCCCCGGCCGCGTCCCCACGGTTCTTTTCGCCCCTCCCGCGCTTCAGGCACCCCTGAGCCGGCGGCGGCGGCGGAGGCGGAGGAGGAGAACTTCGTGTGAGCCCGTGGGGCCGGCTTGGGCCTGGCGTTCAAGGACTCCCCGTTTTATTTATTGCCACTGCCGAGTCTAATTTATGTCCCGTGGACACTCTCCAGAGCCTGGGCCGGGACCACCTGGGAGGGGCCCTGGAGCCCCCCCCCCAGTACCTTGGAAGGCTTGGGGGGAGGGGGCCTGGGCGTGGGGCTGGTAGGTGGGGCTCCCGCTCCAGGCGCGAGCTGCCCCTGAGGACCCCATGCTTCTCCAGGGGGTAGCTTTATTTTCGTCACCACGGAGAGGCCTGGGCATTGCCCGCCAGCGGTTAATGAAGAGGCACCCCGGCCTGCTAGACAGCCGATTGGGAGTAACGAAGGGTCCCCAGCCTGGTTTTGTACACATGAGTCGCAGAACCTGCCCAGGCCCCAGATAGGTCAAGGAAGCAGCCGCTGTCCACAACCCGCTCGAGGACTCCAGGCCTTGCCTTCCACCTGTGCCTCCATTTATGTCCCCAGGACGTCCCGTGGTGGCGCCTGAGGGGTGGAGGAGGGGAGGCCTCTGGCCAGAGAGGCTAGAACAGAACACCGTGCCTAGTGTTGCCCAGTGCACTTTGGGCAGGACCCAGTGGGACCCATTAAGAGCCCCCGTTCACCCACCGTGGGGTGTCTGTGCCGAGGCCCACTGCACACCTGCCTCCTAGAGCCATGTGTCTCAGTGCCCACCCCCCCCCCCCCCCCCCCCCCCCCCCCCCCCCCCCCCGCAGGTAAGGCCCAGTCCAGGACCCCTCGTCCCATGAGACTTGCCTTGGCCGAGCCTCTAAGCTCAGTCTCCAGGCAGACCTGCCTCACCCACCAGCTGGCCCCGGGGTCTGGGTGCTTGCCACACGCTGGCCTGGGCCGAGTTGCTGCCTTCTCTCTGGACTGTTGCTGAGTGTCACCTCCTCACGTCTGCATGTGGCCAAGGCTCGGACCTGACACGGGGGGCCCAACAGGCAGGAGCCCACCTCCCCGAGCTTAGTGAGCCGTGCGGGGGGCGGTTGTATTCATCCTCTCCTGGCCCCTCGGAAGTGCCTTACCTGTGATGCCCAGAAAAGTGCCTTTGAGTAGCGGGGTTCACCCGAGCCCCCCAACAAGGCCACCTCCCCACCCTGGGGTCCTGCCTCACCAAAGAAATAAAGACTGTAAAAAGCTACTTTGGAGGGTCCAAGTCTCGGTCTACCTCTCTCTGAGCCTCTGTGTAGCCCCCCTTTGGTAGCTGGGAGCCTAGTGTGCTGTGAGGGTGGTGAGCGGGGGGCTCTGTCTCTGGGCCTCAGTGTCCATCTCTGGGCAGTGGGCAGCAGCCACTGAGGGGGCTGAGGTAGGTGAGGAGCGGGGCGAGGTCAGCAGTGGGGAAGGAAGCCTTCACAGGGCAGGAAGAGGGGACTTCGGGCACTCGGGAGAAGCCAGCTGGTTTAGGCTCCAGAAACAGACCCGGCCTGGAAGGGCTGGGGGTATGATCATCTCGATAATACCATTAATAATAATACGGCAAGGGTGATGCCAGCTGGGACTTGCCCGAACACCCCCCGTGCTGGGCACTGGATTCTAAGCACGTTTCAGAGGCAAGGACAGACTTCATGTGGAGCCCGGCCGGCCTGAGAGTCCACACTGAGGACCGGGAGCGCCCCCACCCCCGGCCTCGGGTCCCCACCTCCGCGTGGGTGTGGTTAGCTGGAGTCTTGAGAGAAAGACGCAGCTTGGGCAAAGGCCAAGGGGCTGTCCTCAGTGTAGGCTGTTGGGGGGGAGGGGCCTGGGGCCTGAAGCCGGGGGACCAGCTGAGGCATATGAGCGGGAGGCTCGGGGTGGCTCAGGGAGGGAGGCAGCGGCAGCGGCAGAGCCCCGGCCTCGCTGCCAGAAGAGACCCTGGAGGTGAACTGCTGTTCAGAACCGTCTGGCGGTTCAGTTAACATTTTATTTGGTCATTTTGCCCCTTTGCGTTTGGAACTGGTGCCGACCCTGCCCCCCCTCCACCCCGCACACACCAGGCTTCCTGGGGTTTGGGGGCCCCAGGTGCCCTCCCCCAGCATGGACCTTCCAGGCGGGAGCTGTCTGAGTCGTCACCACCTCCCTGTGCGCCCAGCTCTGTTGTGGTTCAGGCGCTTCCTTCAGGAGCCCAGTGGCTCTGGGCAGGGGACTGGGCTGCGGGCCATTTGGGCCTTCGAACCACATCCCATATCCAGCTTACGAAGGCAGACACCTGCGTGTACACATCGGGGGTCTTGGGGTCGCCGCACCAGAGTCCAGAGAAGGAGACCAGGCCATGTGCCCGGTTCCTGCACACCAGAGGCCCCCCGGAGTCTGCCTGGGGGTGGAGGGAAAGGCAAGGTCAGGGGTCCATCTCTGGGCCTCTTTCTCTGGCCTCCCTGCCTCGAAACCCTTCCAAGGCTTCCTAGCCCTCTCCCAGCAAAAATTAAACTTCCAGCCTTCAAGGGACTTGAGCACCTAGAGCCCCCCTCCCCCACCGCCCACCTGTCTGCCCTCCTTTCTCTGGGTGCCCACCCCACCAGCCTTCTGGGCTGTTCCTGCAGCAAACCAAGCTTGCTCCAGCCTCTGGCCTTTTCCGTGTCCTTGAGACCTGTTCCGGCCCCCGCTGGACTCTGCTGGTGTAAATACGCAAGGCCGCAGTACTTTGCGCAGCACGCGACTTGCGTGGCTGTCCACGCGGCCCTGTGACGGGTGTCTGTGCCTGGCACGCCTTCCCTCAGGTCTCCTCCAGGCTCCTTCAAGTCTCGGCTCCAAGGTGCTCTCCGCAGAGAAGGCTCCCTGAATACTCACTCCGAAATGCCTGCTCTCTCCCCTCCGGCCCCTTTCCCAATTCTACCAGTGACTGTAATCTGGAATCACTCTGACCCTGGGAAGTACGTGCTATTAGTGTGGCAGTTTTACAGATCATGACAGGCCCAGAAGAGTGCGGGGACTTTTCCAAGGTCACACACCTGGGAAGAGTCACAGTCTGGATCTGGAGGCAGGCAGCGTGACTCCAGAATGTTTTGCATCACTACACCCTCTTGCCAGGAACCAAAAATCCTTCAGGTTGCGTTTCTCCCTCAGCCCCAGGGCCAGGGCTGCCGCGAGTCCACACAGGGCTTCGGGAGCGGGAACTCCTTGATGGGAATGTCACTGCTCCCTGCTGAACACGGCTTATAAATACACAAATATGTAGCCCTTAGTGCGATGTGCGGTCCACACAGCTGTCCGCGACGGCTCTGTGACCTTGGAAAAGTCTTTCTTCTCTCAGGTATTATTGAGGCCTCATCTGGTCAAAGGTGAGCTTAAGGACGTAGTTCTCAAGCCCCTGCCTATCTAACCCTCTCTGCGGGCCTCGGTTTGCCCATATTGCAGGAAGGTAGGCTGGGGACCGTGTCTTACCGAGCAGAAGCCACGCCTCCGGCGGTCCCCGCTGTGGGTGCAGAGCATGGCCGGGCTCAGCTGGCCCTTCCAGGAGCTGTTGCAGATGTCCAGGCCCAGCACGCGGACGTCAGCCTCCATCAGCCCCGGCGGCAGGTCCTCGAAGTCGGACACAGAGCCCCAGCCCGCCACCTGGCAGCGTGCGCCAGCCCGGGGGGGCGCGGCGTCCCTCCGTGGCAGCCTCAGCAGCCCCACCGCAGGGCCCAGGGCGGCCGAGCTGTTGAGCTGCAAAGAGACCGCTGATTTGGGGTTTACCCCCAACCGCCCGTCCCTCTTCCTGCCGCAGTTCTCCCGTCGTGACCTTGTCTCTGCGTGGCCTCGTGGGGAGAAATCAGCAGGGCTGTCACAGGCTGTGAGGAGAACGTGCCCAGCAGGCCTCCCCACCTCAGACCCGGACGCTGGCCGACCCGGCTGCCAGCTGCGTCCTTCTAGCCAGCATCTCCCCTGCTTGTAAGCCTTGCTGTGGCCCCCGTTGTTCTGGGACAACACCTCTTGGCTCTCCGTTCAGCCGTCCCTCCAGCCAGAACGAATTTCTTGTCTTTCCCTGTCCCTGCCCTCCCCAGCTGGAACGCCCTTCCTATCCAGCCTTCAGGTCTCAGCTTAGATGTCACCTCCTCCAGGGAGCCTTCCTGGACTCCCAGGATAGGACAGGAGCCTCCTCTGGGGCCCCACGTGCCCCTGCCACGGCCGGTTTACCCAGATGCCAGCCAGTGGACCAGCCCTGGGGCTGTTTGTTCATGGCTTTGACTCCAGTGCCCAGCACGCAGCTGGCGGACGCACAGTCAACGTTTACGGGATGAATGACTCGGGCCCCTGGTTTGGGTGCGCCCTAACCGCGGCCATACTCCCGACCACACCCCAGCCTCAGTTTCCGCAGCTGCATAATGGGATGGGTGACCAGAACCGTGGGTTCCAGGTTTTGGGGTTTCCCAGATGAGCAAAATCCACATGCAAGCTTTGGCCGCCGACACTCGCTGCCCCCTTTTCATCTTGCTACGAAAACACCACCCCCCAAACCCTTTTGTTCCCAGGAACCTATTTCTGTTACGTTGAGCATCTCTGTTTTGACTTTCACCACATTTGGAGGGCAGGCCTGAGGAGTTTTCCCTTTAAAACGGAGGCCCTGGCGGAGGGAGTGCCTGGAATTGAATGTGGGGCCCTAGAGCCTGGGCTGGGGGGGGGGGCCCGGCCCCC